CAAATTTTCATGTTTTCTTACAGATTACAAAACAATCTATTCCTGAAAATTAGTTTGGGGTTGTTTCCATATACTTTTTACTAAACCGTGTTTTCAGCGCGAGTTTAGAAAGACTTGACCCATTTCATGCTCTGGCCAAATTTTGCAGGAAACATTGGGTATCAAGGAAATTTTCATTTCCTCTTACAGAGTTCAACACTATCTATTCTCCTGAGACATCGGGTATCAAGCAAATTTTCATGTCTTCTTACAGATCTCAACACAATCTATTCAAAAAAATTGGTTTGGGGTTGTTTCCAGATAATTTTAACAAAACCGTGTTTTCAGCACGAGCTGAGCAAGACTTGACCCATTTTACTTTGTGGCCAAATTTCTCAGGAAACATCGGGTATCAAGCAAATTTTTATCTTTTCTTACACATTTCAACAGAATCTATTCAAAAAAATTAGTTTGGGTTTGTTTCCAGATAGTTTTTACAAAACAGTGTTTTCAGCGCGAGTTGAGTAAGACTTGACCCATTTCATGCTCTGGCTAAATATTAGAGGAAACATCGGGTATGAAGGAAATTTCCATGATTTCTTACAGATTTCAACACAGTCTATTAAAAAAAACTTGTTTTGGGTTGTTTCCAGATACCTTTTAGAAAACCGTGTTCTCAGCGCGAGTTGAGCAAGACTTGACCCATTTCATGATCTGGCTAAATTTTCCAGTAAACATGGGGTATCAAGCAAATTTCCATAACTTCTTACAAATTTCAACGCAATCTATTCAATAAATTTAGTTTGGGGTTGTTTCGAGATACTTTTTACAAAACCGTGTTTTCAGCGCGAGTTAAGCAAGACTTGACTCATTTTATGCTTTGGCCAGATTTTGCAGGAAAGAACGAGTATCAAGCAAATTTTTATGTTTTCTTACCTATTTCAATACCATCTATTCACGCAGGCTGGTTTGGGCTTGTTTACAGATACTTTATACAAAACCGTGTTTTCAGCAGGAGTTGAGCAAGACTTGACCCATTTCATGCTCTGGGCAAATTTTGCAGGAAACATCGGGTATCAAGCAAATTTTCATGTCTTTTTACAGATTGCAACACAATCTATTCAAAAATTTGGTTTGGGGTTGTTTCCAGATACTTTTTACAGAAACATGTTTTCAGCGCGAGTTAAGTAAGACTTCACCCATTTCATGCTATGGCTAAATTTGGCAGGAAACATCGGGTATTAAGCAAATTTTCATGTCTTCTTACAGATTTCAACACAATCTATTCAAAAAAACTTTTGGGGTTTTTTCCAGATCCTTTTTACAAAATCGTGTTTTGAGCACGAGTTGAGCAGGACTCGACCGATTTTACTTTGTGGCCAAATTTCTTAGGAAACATCGGGTTTCAAGCAAATTTTCATTTTTTTTCAATAGATTTAAACACGATCTATTTAAAAAAATTTGTTTGGGGTTTTTTCCAGATACTTTTTACAAAACCGTGTTTTTAGCGCGAGTTGAGCAAGATTTGATGCATTTCATGCTCTGGCCAGATTTTGTAGGAAACGCCGGGTATCAAGCAAATTTTCCTGTCTTCTTACATATTGCAACCCAATCTATTCAAAAAATTTGTTTGGGGCTGTTTCCAGATACTTTTTACAAAACCGTGTTTTCAGCCCGAGTTGAGGAAGACTTGACCCATTTCATGCTCTGCCCAAATTTTGCAGGAAACATCGGGTATGAAGCAAATTTTGATGTGTTCTTACAGATTTCAACACAATCTATTCAAAAAAATTGGTTTGGGGTTGTTTCCATATACTTTTTAGAAAACCGTGTTTTCAACACGAGTTTAGAGAGACTTGACCGACTTTACTTTGTGGCCAAATTTCTTAGGAAAGATCGGGTATCAAGCAAATTTTCATGTTTTATTATAGATGACACAATCTTATAGATGACACAATCTATTCAAAAATATTGGTTTGAGGTTTTTTCCAGATACTTTTTACAAAACCGTGTTTTTAGCGCGAGTTAAGTAAGATTTGACGCATTTCATGCTCTCGCCAAATTTTGCAGGAAACATCGGGTATCAAGCAAATTTTCCTGTCTTCTTACATATTTTAACCCAATCTATTAAAAAAAATGGTTTGGGGTTGTTTCCAGATACTTTTTACAACACCGTGTTTTCAGCGCGAGTTGAGGAAGACTTGACACATTTCATGCTCTGCCCAAACTCTGCAGGAAACATCGGGTATCAAACAAATTCTCATGTCTTCTTACAGATTTCAACAGAATCTATTTTGCAAAACCTTGTTTTGAACGCGAGTTGGGAAAGACTCGCCCAAAATCTCTATCTGCCCAAATTTCTCACGAAACATCGCGTATTAAGCAAATTTTGATGTGTTCTTACAGATTTCAAACAACCTATTCAAAATAATTGGTTTGGGGTTGTTTCCATATACTTTTTACAAAACCGTCTTTTCAGCGCATTTTGAGGAAGACCTAACCCATTTCATGCTCTGACCAAATTTTACAGGAAACATCGGATATCAAGCAAATTTTCATGTCTTCTTTTAGATTTCAACACAATCTATTCAAAAAAATTGGTTTGGGGTTGTTTCCAGATACTTTTACAAAATCGTGTTTTCAGCGCGAGTTGAGAAAAAGGACCCATTTCATGGTCTTGCCAAATTTTGCATTAAACTTCGGGTACCAAGCAAATTTTCACGTCCTTACATATTTTAACACAATCTATTCAAAAAAATTGGTTTGCAGTTTTTTCCAGATACTTTTTACAAAACCGTGTTTTAAGCACGAGTTGAGCAAGACTTGACCCATTTTATGCTCTGGCCGAATTCTACAGGAAAGATCGGGCATCAAGCAACTCTTCATGTTTTCTTAGAGATTTCAACACAATCTATTAAAAAAAAATTGGTTTTGGGTTCTCTCCAGATACTTTTTACAAAACCGTGTTTTCAGCGCGAGTTGAGCAAGACTTGACCCATCTCATGCTCTGGCCAAATTCTGCAGGAAACATCGGGTATAACGCAAATTTTCATGTGTTCTTACACATTTCAGTAAATCTAAAAAAAATTGGTTTGGGGTTGTTTCCAGATACTTATTACAAAACCGTGTTTTCAGCGCGAGTTAAGCAAGACTTGACCCATTTCATGCTTTGGCCAAATTTTGCAGGAAAGATCGGGTATCAGGCAAATTTTCATGTCTCCTTACAGATTTCAACACAATCTATTCAAAAAAATTGGTTTAGGGTTGTTTCCAGATACATTTTACAAAACCATGTTTTCAGCGCGAGTTGAGCAAGACTTGACTCATTCTACTATGTGTCCAAATCTGGCACGAAACATCGCGCATCAACCAAAACTTAGTGTTTTCTTACACATTTCAATACAATCTATCCATGAAAGTTGATTTTTGCTTGTTTGGTTATACCTTTTGCAAAACCGTGTTTTGATCGCGAGTTGGGCAAGACTTGACCCAAATCTCTATCTGGCCAAATTTCGCCGGAAACATCGGGTATCAAGCAAATTTTAGTGTTCTCTTACAGATTGCAACACAATCTATTGTAATAAAATGGTTTTGGGTTGTTTGCAGATACTTTTCACAAAACCGTGTTTTCAGCGGAGTTGAGGAAGACTTGACCCATTTCATGCTCTGGCCAAATTTCGCAGGAAACAGCAGATATCATCTGGATCTTCTCACAGCTTTCAAGACATGCTATTCAAAAGAATCGCCTTTGTCTTGTTTGCAGATACTTTTCTCAAAACAATGTTTTCTGCGCGAATTGAGCAAGACGACCCATTTCATGCTCTGGCCAAATTTGCAGGAAACATCGGGTATTAACCGAGCTTTAGTGTTTTCATAAAAATTTCAACACAATCCATTGAAAAAAGCTGGTTTTGAGTTCTTTGCAGATACGTTTACCAAAACCGTGTTTTCAGCAAGAATTGAGAAAGACTTGGCGCATTTCACTGTGGCCAAGTTTCGCGGAAAACATCGGTTCTCAACCAGACTTTAGCGCTTTCCTACTGATCTAGACACAATGTACTAAAATATTTGGTTTTGGCTTGCCTGCAGATAGTTTTTGCAAACGTTTTTTTCTGATTAACTCAATTACTGACCAACTGGTGACTGAGTGGCTAATTGACTGGGACTTACTGGCTGACTAACTGGTTGACTGAACGGCTGTTTAAAAGGCTGACTGACCCAGTCGTAATTCACTATCTATCTGAGTAAGTCTTCGACTTACTGACCGACTGGGGACTAATTAGCTGACTGGCTGTGTGACTGAATGGCCGACTGGCGGACTGGCTGACTGGCTGACCGGCTGCCGGGCTGGTTGACCGACCCGCTGACTGAAAGGTTCACTGACCCAGTGGTACTTGACTGGCTCGCTGACTGGTTAACTGACTGGGTGACCGGCTGGTGATTGAGTGGTCAATTGACTAGTGAGTCAGTGGCTGACTACGTGGTTGACTGACTGGCTGAATGATAGGTTGACTAACTCAATGGTCCTTGATTGGCTATCTGACTGGTTAACTGACTTGCTGATCGCCTGGTGAATGAGTCACTAGCTAATGATGACTGACTGGTGGATTAGCTGGTTGACTGAGTGGTTGATTAGTAGGCAGTCGTCGGACCATGTCCATGGCTAGCGCAATTGCGAGAAACACTTTCTCTCGTGGCTAAAAAGCCCAATTCTAGTACGGCAGACAGGGCCGCATCCACTGCACACGAAAACACTTGCCACTCGAACACACGTTGCTTTGTTCATTGCTGCTCTTCTCTTAGCTCTTCTATCATCAGCTTCAGCTTTCAGCCTTTCCTCTCCGGCCTGGATTGCCAGACTGCACACAGACCTCCAATCACTCCGATCTGCAGCATGTAGCTCTCTGTTATCTGTTGGCAGGCTAGTGGCGAGCATATCTCTCTTGCATACGTCCTTGAAACGCAGCTTAGGTCTGCCAATAGGCCTCGTACCGGATTCCAACTCACCATACAGCAGATTCTTAGTGATTCGCCCATCCTCCATCCGGTACACATGACCTAGCCACCTCAATCTGCGCTGTTTTATCAGGGTGAAACATCGAGGGGATATTGGCTCTTGCAAGTTCCTTATTGTTAGAGACCTTATCTGTCCATGAGATGGAGAGGATGCGACGAAGACATCTCATATGGAAGATGTTCAAGCGCTTCTCCTTACTAGCGTAGGTAGTCCAAGACTCGCTACCAAACAATAAGGTGCTCACGATGCAAGGACGATACACAGCAACTTTAGTTTGGGTAGTTAACTTCTTGTTCTCCCAGACACGGGAAGACAGCTTAGCCATGTTGGTTGCAGCCTTGCCAATTCTCTTTCTAATCTCCACTTGAAGGCAGTTGTTGTTTGAGGTAGTGGAGCCGAGATAGGTAAACTGTGTGACGGCTTCCAAGATGTAATCTTTGATCGTTACGGCAGGTGTGGCTGCATTGTCCTGGGACATGAATTTCGTCTTCTTTAGGCTGCTTGTAAGTCTGGAAGCCTGCCATGCGTCAGAAAACTGATTAAGGAGGAGTTGGAGTTTTTCAGCGCTGTGAGCAACGAGGGCAACATCATCGGCAAGGAGAAGGTCACGGATGGCTACCTTTGTTCTTGGCTCTAAGGCGAGCAGGGTTGAACAATTTACCATCAGAACGAGATCGTATCAGTATGCCCTCTTCAGAGGACTTGAAAGCGTGATTCAGTAAAACTGAAAAGAAGATGTTGAAGAGAGTTTGGGCTAGCACACATCCTTTTTTTACGCCGCTGTTTATATCGAATGCCTCAGACCTGTTTTCGTCATACTGCACTGTACCCCGAGACGCATCCTCGAACGATTTGATGAAGTTCAGGAATTTAGGAGGACAGCCAAGTAAGGGCAGAATCTTGAAAATGCCGTCTCTACTGAAAAGGTCCAACGCCTTTGTCAAGTCGATGAATACAATGTAGAGTGGCTGTTGTTGCTCTTTGCACCTCTCCTGGAGTTGTCTCAAAGATAAAATCATGTCCACAGTCGACCGATTAGAGCGGAAACCACACTGGGATTCAGGGTACACCCTTTCAGCGATCTTTTGAAGGCGGTATAATGCTACTCGGGCAAACAGCTTTCCAGCAATGCACAGAAGTGAGATGCCACGGTAATTGTTGCCATCAATGCGGTCTCCCTTGTTTTTGTATAGGGTTGAGATAATAGAATCCCTCATCTCCTGGGGAACGTATCCCTCTTCCCAGCATTTGCAGATTAGCTGGTGGAGATGGTCGAACAATTCGTTTCCACTGCATTTGAAGACCTCAGCCGGGATACCGTCAAGCCCAGGGGCCTTTCCAGACGATATGTGACTGATTGCCTTTCAGAGATCTTCCATGGTGGGGGCTCATCTAGTGCAAACATGATGGGAAGCCTTTCAATGCAGTCAAGGACAGAGGGTAAGACAGAGCTCGATCTACCATAGAGCTCGCTATAGTATTCCACCCAGCACTCCATCAGTCTCGATTTATTAGTAATGATTTCACCAGTTGATGTTTTGAGTGGTGAGGACTTTGACTGTGTAGGTCCCAATCGCCTTCTTGATACCCTCAGACATGCCCCTGGAATTTCCAGCGTCAGTAGCTGACTGGATTTCAGCACAGAGATTCATCCAAAAGTTGTTAGCACAGATCTTACAATTTTGATTCGCACGACGCCTAGCCTCCCGAAGTGCTTCCAAATAGCTAAGTGATGGATTACGCTGGTAGTTCTGCACGGCATTCCTCTTTGCTTCGATAAGCGGCTGGAGAGTCGCGATGTTTGCATTGAACCAATCCTGGCTTTTGCGTACATTCTTGCCAAAGGCCTTTAATCCTGCAGCAAGGGTGGTGTCCTTGACATGGCTCCAGTAATCCTCTGTGTTAAGTTCGAGGAAGTCTCCGAGTTACGAGCTCAGGATGTCGTTGAATATAGAGACATTTTCAGGGTTGGCGGTGGCAGAAGCATTAATGCGAAGTGTAGCAGATTGTTTGACACGATGGAACTTCTTTGGACGTAACTGGATCTTCGTGCAGACAAGGTAGTGATCACTTTTACAATCAGCACTGTGGTATGCCCTTGTAGTACGAATGTTATTTTAAAAGGTGTTCCCGTCTTGAGATGATGAGGTCCAGTTCGTGCCAGTTTTTAGATCTGGGGTACACGCACGAGAACCTATGGTGCAGCTTCACGCCAAAGAATGTGTTTGTAATACAGAGGTGATGATAGGTGCAAAGCTCCAGAAGGCGTCGACCATTTTCATTGCATTTGCCAATATCAAAGTGAGCAAGACAATCAGGCCAGGAGCCTTGATCGTTTCCCACTCTAGCGTTCAAGTCGCCGATTAGATATGGGATATGTTTGATAGCATCATGAAATTGGCTGTAAAAGGTATCCCTGGCATCGGTACTCGAAGTCAGGGTTGGAGCGTAGACAGAAAGCAAATTGGTGGGACCTAGATCGGTATTGAGTTTTATGTGCATGATGCGCTCAGACTTGGTTGAGCCCGGCTTCACCATCTGTACTAGCTTGTTGCTGAAAGTAAAACCAACTCCATGTACTCTAGGCTCATCTTCATTTCTACCCTGCCAAAAAAAGGGGATTCCTTCTCCGTTAGGCTTGGCAACCAGCTATGCGCGTTTTCCGTAAAGCAGCGATATCAACTTGGAGCCCAACCAATTCTCTGCTGATGACAGCTGTTTTGCGTACACCATCAATGTCGCGTATGTCCTTGGTAAGTCCGGTCATCATCGTTCGGACGTTCAAGTGATAGTTTACTGGCTCTCTGACTGGTAAACTGACTAGGTGACCGGCTGGTGACTGAGTGGGTAATTGACTGGTGAGTCAGTGGCTGACTACGTAGTTGACTGACTGGCTGAATGATAGGTTGACTAACTCAATGGTCCTTGATTGGCTATCTGACTGGTTAACTGACTTGCTGAACGACTGGTGAATGAGTCACTAATTGACTGGTGACTGTTTCGCTGAGTAACTGGTTGACGTTTGCCTAACTGAGTGAATGACTGACCAAGTGGTACTTGACTGGCTATGTGACTGGTTGGGTAACGGACTTGCTTACCGATATGTACTTAGCAAGTCAGGTTAACTGACTTGCAGACCGATTGGTGACTAAGTGGCTAATTGTCCTGTGACTCACTGGCTGACTGCGTGGTTGACTAACTCAATGGTACTTGATTGGTTATCTCACTGGTTAACTGACTTGCTGATCGCCTAGTGAATGAGTGACTAGTTAACTGGTGACTGACTGGTTGAGTAGCTGGTTGACTGAATGGTTGACTGACGCAGTGGTAATTGACTGGCTATGTGACTGGTTAACTGACTGGCTGACCGACTTGTGACTTAGTGGCTAATTGAGGGGTGACTGACTGGCTAACTGAGGTGTTGACTGACTCAATCGTAGTTGATTAACTGGTTAACTGAGCTCCTCTCCTGACCGACTGGTGAATGACTGACTAATTAGTTAATTACCATCTGCCTAACTAAATGGTTCACTCTCCCAGTGGAATTTGACTGGCTATATGACTGGTTAACTGACTGGCTGAAGGACTGGAGACTGAGTGGCTTAATGATTGGTAACTGACTGGCTGACTGCATGGTCGGCCGACTGGATGACGAAAGGGTGACTGATTGAATGGTACTTGACTGGGTATCTGACTGGTTAGGTGACTTGGTGACCAACTGGTGAGTGAGTGGCTTGTTGACCGGTGAGTAAGTCACTGGTTGACCGACTGGCTGACTTGAAGAGTGATTGATTCAATGGTACTTGAGTCTGGTCAGCCGACTTCCTGACCCACTAACTCTCTGAATGAATGGTCGACTTCCTCGGTGGTGCGTAAGCAGCTGACTGACGAATGAACTTACTCAGTAGCTCCTGACGACTATCTGATTGGTTGACTAACTGGTTCACTTACTGGTTAACTGACTCGCTGACCGACTGGTGACTGACTGTCTTACTGGTGGGCTAAGTGACAGAGAAAACTGCTGGATTGAATGACTAGTTGACTGACTCACTGGATACCTGACCTGCTGACTGACTGGGTTACTGCTTTACTCTCGGTCTCGTCACGGACTCGCTAACTCAATGGTAACTGACCGACTGAGTGACTGGTTGACTTACTGACTTATTAAATACTGACTGGCATTTGAAGCGGCTGACTGACGGGTGGACTCGTTGACTTGGCGCATTTCACTCTGGCAAAATTTCGCAGGAAACAGCGGATATTATCTGGATTTTAGCGTTTTCTCACAGCTTTCAAGACAACCCATTCAAAAGACGCGCCTTTTTCTTGTTTGCAGATACTGTTTCAAAACCATCTGTTCTGCGCGAGTTGAGCAAGACTTGACCCATCTCATTTTCTGGCCAAATTTTGCAGGAAATATCGGGTATCAACCGAAATTTAGTGTTGTCATACAGATTTCAACAGAATCCATTGAAAAAAGTTGGTTTTGGGTTCTTTGCAGATACTTTTTCAAAAACCGTGTTTTCAGCAAGAGGTGAGCGAGACGACTCATTTCAGTCTGTGGCCAAATTTGGAAGGCAACAGCAGGTAACACTCAATTTTTAGTGTTTTCTTAGAGATTTCAATACAATCTATCCAAAAAAGTTGGTTTTCGCTTGTTTGATGATACTTTTTGCAAAACCGTGTTTTGAGCGCGAGTTGAGAAAGACCTGACCCAAATCTCTATCGGGCCAAATTTCGCAGGGAACCTCGGGTATCAAGCAAATTTAATTGTTTTCTTACAGATTGCAACACAATCTATTGAAAAAAATTGGTTTTCGGTTGTTTGCACATACCTTTTACAAAATCGTGTTTTCAGCACAAGTTTAGCAAGACTTGACCCATTTCATGCTCTGGCCAAATTTTGCAGGAAACATCGGGTATCAAGCAAATTTTCATGTCTTCTTACAGATTTCAACACAATCTATTCAAAAAAAGGTGTTTGAGGTTGTTTCCAGATACATTTTACAAAACTGTGTTTTCAGCGAGAGTTGAGCAAGACTTTACCCATTTAATGCTCTCGCCAAAGTTTAGAGGAAATATCGGGTATCAAGCAAATTTTCCTGTTTTCTTACAGATTTTAACCTAATCTATTAAAAAAAATTGGTTTGCAGTTGTTTCCAGATAATTTTTACAAAACCGTGTCTTCAGCACAAGTTGAGCAAGACTTGACACATTTCATGCTCTGGCCAAATTGTGCAGGAAAGTATAAAGCAAATTTTCATGGTCAAGTCTTTCTCAACTCGCACTGAAAACACGGTTTTGTAAAAAGTATCAGCACACAACCCAAAATCAATTTTTTTCAATAGATTGCGTTGCAATCTGAGAGAAAACACTAAAATTTCCTCGATACCCGATGTTTAATGAGAAATTTGGCAAGATAGAGATTTGGGTCAAGTCTTGCTGAACTCGCGCTGAAAACACGGTTTTGCAAAAAGTATCTGCAAACAAGCGAAAACCAACTCTTCTTGATCGATTGTATTGAAATGTGTAAGAAAACACTAATTTTCGGTTGATGCGCGGTTTCCTGCCAAATTTGGCCACAAAGTAAAATGGGTCAAGTCTTGCTTAACTCGCGCTGAAAACACGGTTTTCAAAAAGTATCAGGCAACAAGTCAGACTTGCTGACTGACTGGTTAATTCACTCTTTGACTTACGGGATGCGTCTTCTTATTCAACTCGTGCTACAAACACGGTTTTCAAAAAGTATCTGGAAACAGCCCCAAACCAATATTTTTGAATAGATTGTCTTGAAATTAGTAAGGAAACATGAAAATTTGCTTGATATCCGGATTCAATTACTGACTGATTCACCAGTCGTTCAACAAGTCGGTTCACCAGTCAGATAGGCAATCAAGTACCATTGAGTTAGTCAACCAATCATGCAGCCAGTCAGTCAACCACGTAGTCAGCCACTGACTCACCAGTGAGTTCACCACTCAGTGACCAGCCGGTCACCCAGTCAGTTAACCAGTCAGAGAGCCAGTCAATTATCACTTGAACGTCCGAACGATCCTGACCGGACTTACCAAGGACATACGCGACATCAATGGGTACGCAAAACAGCTGTCATCAGCAGAGAATTGGTTGGGCTCCAAGTTGATATCGCTGCTTTACAGGAAACGCGCATAGCTGGTTGCGAAGCCTAACGGAGAAGGAATACACATTTTTCTGACCGGGTAGAGATGAAGATGAGCCTAGAGTACATGGAGTTGGTTTTGCTCTCAGCAACAAGCTAGTACAGATGGTGGAGCCAAGCCCAACCAAGTCTGAGCGCATCATGCACACAAAACTCAATACCGATCTAGGTCCCACCAATTTGCTTTCTGTCTACGCTCCAACCCTGACTTCGAGTACCGATGCCAAGGATACCCAAACAACGAAGTGCTGATTCTACTCGGCGACTTGAACGATAGAGTGGGAAACGATCAAGGCTCCTCGCCTGATTGTCTTGGTCACTTTGGTGTTGGCAAATGCAATGAAAATGATCGACGCTTTCTGGAGCTTTGCACATATCATCACCTCTGTATTACAAACACATTCTTTGGCGTGAAGCTGCACCAGAGGTTCTCGTGCATGTACCCCAGATCTAAAAATTGCCACCAACTCGACCTCATCATCTCAAGACGAGAACACCTTAATAAGATTCGCACTACAAAGGCATACCACAATGTTGATTGTGAGAGTGATCACTACCTTGTCTGCAAGAAGATCCAGAGACGTCCAAAGAAGTTCCATCGTGTCAAACAATCTGTTACACTTCGCATTAATGCTTCTGCCAGCGCCATCCCTGAAAATGTCTCTATATTCATCGACATCCTGAACTCGAAAGTCGGAGACTGCCTGGAACTTAACACAGAGGAACACTGGAGCCATATCAAGGACACCACCCTTGGTGCAGCATTAAAAGCCTTTGGCAAGAATGTACGCAAAAGCCAGGATTGGTTCAATGCAAACATCGCGACTCTCCAGCCGCTCATCGAAGCAAAGAGGAATGCACTGCAGAACTATCAACGTAATCCATCACCTACCTCTTTGGAAGCACTTCGGGAGACCAGGCGTCGTGCGAATCAAAAATATAAGATCTATGCTAACAATTTTTGCATGAATCTTTGTGCTGAAATCCAGTCAGCTGCTGACGATGGAAATTCCAGGGGCATGTTTGAGGGTATCAAGAAGGCGATTGGGACCTACACAGTCCAAGTCCTCACCACTCAAAACATCAACTGGTGAAATCACTACTGATAAATCAACACTGATGGAGTGTTGGGTGGAATAGTATAGCGAGCTCTATGGTAGATCGAGCTCTGTCTTACCCTCTGTCCTTAACTGCATTGAAAGGCCTCCCATCATGTTTGAACCAGATGAGCCCTCCACCATGGAAGATCTCTGAAAGGCAATCAGTCACATATCGTCTGAAAAGGCCCTGGGCTTGACGGTATCCCGAGTGAAGTCTTCAAATGCAGTGGAAACCAATTGTTCGACAATCTCCACCAGCTAATCTGCAAATGCTGGGAAGAGGGATACGTTCCCCAGGAGATGAGGGATACTATTATCTCAACCCTATACAAGAACAAGGGAGACCGCATTAATGGCAACAATTACCGTGGCATCTCACTTCTGTGCATTGCTGGAAAGCTGTTTGCCCGAATAGCATTATACCGCCTTCAAAAGATCACTGAAAAGGTGTACCCTGAATCCCAGTGTGGTTCCCGCTCTAATCGGTCGACTGTGGACATGATTTTCTCTTTGAGACAACTCCAGGAGAAGTGCAAAGAGCAACAACAGCCACTCTACATTGCATTCATCGACTTGACAAAGGCCTTTGACCTTGTCAGTAGAGACGGCCTTTTCAAGATTCTGCCCTTACTCCTGAGCTTTATCAAATCGTTCCATGATGGGTTTTGGGTACAGTGCAGTATGACGAAAACAGGTGTGAGGCATTCGATATAAACAGCGGCGTAAAAAAAGGATGTGTGCCAGCCCCAACTCTCTTCAACATCTTTTCAGTTTTACTGAATCATGCTTTCAAGTCCTCTGAAGAAGGCATCCTGATATGATCTCGTTCTGATGGTAAACTCTTCAACCCTGCACGCCTTAGAGCCAAGACCAAAGGTAGCCATCCGTAACCTTCTCTTTGCCGATGATGTTGCCCTCGTTGGTCACAGCGCTGAAAAACTCCAACTCCTCCTCAATCAGTTTTCTGACGCATGTGAGGACTCCAGACGTACAAGTAACCTAAATAAGACGAAAGTCATGTCCCATGACAATGCAGCCACATCTGCCGTAACGATCAAAGATTACATCTTGGAAGCCATCACACAGTTTACCTATCTCGGCTCCACCACCTCAAACATCAACGGCCCTGAAGTGGAGATTGAAAAGAGAATTGGCAAGGCTGCAACCAACGTGGCGCAGCTGCCTTCCCGTGTCTGGGAGAACAAGAAGTTAACTACCCAAACTAAAGTTGCTGTGTATCGTGGTTGCATGGTGAGCACCTTATTGTTTGGTAGCGAGTCGTGTCCTACCTTCACTAGTCAGGAGAAGCGCTTTAACATCTTCCATATGAGATGTCTTCGTCGCATCCTCTCCATCTCATGGACAGATAAGGTCTTTAACAATGAGGTACTTGCAAGAGGCAATATCCCCTCCATGTTCACCCTGATAAGACAGCGCAGATTGAGGTGGCTCGGTGATGTGTACCGGATGGAGGATGGGTGAATGCCTAAGAATCTGCTTTATGGCGAGTTGGAATCCGGTTCGAGGCCTATTGGCAGACCTAAGCTGCGTTTTAAGGACGTATGTAAGAGGGATATGCTCGCCACTGGCCTGCCAACAAATAATTGGGAGCTACATGCTGTAGATCGGAGTGATTGGAGGTTTGTGTGCAGTCTGGCACCCCAGGCGGGAGAGGAAAGGCTGAAAGCTGAAGCCGATGATAGAAGAGCTAAGAGAAGAGCAGCAATGAACAAAGCAACGTGTGTTCCAGTGGCAAGTGTCTTCGTGTGCAGTGGATGCGGCCGTCTCTGCCGTTCTAGAATTGCGCTTTTTAGCCACGAGAGAAAGTGTTTCTCGCAATTGCGCTAGTCATTGACATGGTCCGACGACTGCCTACTAGTCAACCACTCAGTCCACGAGCTAATCAACCACTCAGTCAGCAGATAACTAGTCACTTATTCACCAGGCGATCAGCAAGTCAGTTAACCAGTCAGATAGCCAATCAAGGACCATTGAGGTAGTCAACCTATCATTCAGCCAGTCAGTCAACCACGTAGTCAGCCACTGACTCACCAGTCAATTGACCACTCAGTCACCAGCCGGTCACCCAGTCAGTTAACCAGTCAGAGAGCCAGTCAAATACCCCTGGGTCAGTGAACCTTTCAGTCAGCGGGTCGGTCAACCAGCCAGTCAGCCAGTCAGCCAGTCAGCCAGTCAGCCAGTCCACCAGTGAGCCATTCAGTCACACAGCCAGTCAGCCAATTAGCCACTCAGTCCCCAGTCGGTCAGTAAGTCGAAAAGTTACTCAGATAGATAGTGAAGTACCACTGGGTCATTCAGCCTTTTAGTCAGCCGGTCACTCAACCAGTTAGTCAGCCATTAAGTCCCAGTCAATTAGCCACTCAGTCACCAGTTGGTCAGCAATTGAGTTAATCAGAAAAAAACGTTTGCAAAAACTATCTGCAAGCAAGCCAAAACCAAATATTTTTAGTACCTTGTGTCTAGATCCGTAAGAAAGCGCTAAACTTTGGTTGAGACCCGATGTTTTCCGCGAAACTTAGCCAGAGTGAAATGCGCCGTCTTTCTCAACTCTTGCTGAAAACACGGTTTTGGAAAAAGTATCTGCAAAGAACCCAAAACCAACTTTCTTCAATGGATTGTTTTGAAATTTGTATGAAAACACTAAATTTCGGTTAATACCCGATGTTTCCTGCAAAATTTGGCCAGAGCATGAAATGGGCCAAGTCTTGCTCAACTCGCGCAGAAAACATGGTTTTGAAAAAGGTATCTGCAAAGGCGATTCTTTTGAATAGGTTGTCTTGAAAGCTGTGAGAAACCGCTAAAATCCACATGATATCCGCTGTTTCCTGCGAAATTTGGCCAGAGTGAAATGCGCCAAGTCAACTAGTCCACCAGTCAGTCAGGCCCTTCAAAGGCCAGTCAGTAATTAATAAGTCAGTAAGTCAACCAGTCACTCAGTCGATCAGGTAGCAGTGAGTTAGCCAGTACGTCACCAAACCATGAATAAAGCAGTAACCCAGTCAGTCAGCAGGTGAGGTACCCAGTGAGTCTGTCAACTGGTCATTCAGTCCAGCAATTTTCTGTCAGTTAGCCAATAAGTAAGACAGTCAGTAACCAGTTGGTTAGCAATTGAGTTAATCAGAAAGAACTATCTGCAAGCAAGCAAAAACCAAACATTTTCACTACATTCTTTAGATTCGTAAGAAAGCCCTAAGATTTGGTTGACCCGATGTTTTCCGCGAAACTTGGCCAGAGAGTGAAATGCGCCAAGTCTTTCTCAACTCGGGCTGAAAACACGGTTTTCCGAAAAGTATCTGCAAACAACCCCAAACCAATTTTTTTGAATAGATTGTGTTGAAATCTAAAAGAAAACATGAAAATTTGCTTGATACCCGATGTTTCTTGCAACATTTGGCCAGAGCATGAAATGGGTTTTCTTACAGATTTCAACACAATCTATTCAAAAAAATTGGTTTGGGGTTGTTTCCAGATACTTTTTACAAAACCATGTTTTCAGCGAGAGTTGAGCAAGACCTGACCCATTTTACTATGTGGCCAAATTTGACAGGAAACATCGCGCATCCACCAAAACTTAGTGTTTTCTTAGACATTTTAATACAATCTATCCATAAAAGTTGGTTTTCGCCTGTTTGCTGATACTTTTTGGAAAACCGTGTTTTTAACGCGAGTTGGGCAAGACTTGACCCAAATCTCTATTTGTCCAAATTTCGCAGGATACATCGGGTATCAAGGAAATTTTAGTGTTTTCTTACAGATTGCAACACAATCTATTCAAAAAGATTCGTTTGGGGTTCTTTCCAGATACTTTTTACAAAACCGTGTTTTCAGCGCGAGTTGAGCAAGACTTGACCCATTTCATGCTCTGGCCAACTTTTGCAGGAAACATCGAATATCAGGCAGATTTTCATGTTTTGTTACACATTTCAACACAATCTATTGAAAAAATTGGTTTTGGGTTGTTTCCAGATACTTTTTACAAAACCGTGTTTACAGCGTAAGTTGAGCAAGACGACCCATTGCAACACAATCTATTGAAAAAAAATTGGTTTTGGGTTGTTTGCAGATACTTTTTACAAAACCGTGTTTTGAGCGCGAGTTCAGCAAGACTTGACCAAAATCTCTATCTGGCCAAATTTCGCAGGATACATCGGGTATCGAGGAAATTTTAGTGTTTTCTCTAAGATTGCAACGCAATCTATTGAAAAAAATTGGTTTTGGGTTGTGTGCTGATACTTTTTACAAAACCGTGTTTTCAGCGCGAGGTGAGCAAGACTTGACCCATTTCATGCTCTGGCCAAATTGTTTAGGAAAAATTGGGTATCAAGGAAATCTTAGTGTTTTCTTACACATTTCAACACAATCTATCGAAAAAAATTGGTTTTGGGTTGTTTCCAGATACTTTTTACAAAACCGTGTTTTCAGCGAGTGTTGAGAAACACTTGACCCATTTCATGCTCTGGCCAAATTTTGCAGGAAACATCGAATATCAGGCAAATTTTCATGTTTTCTTACAGATTTCAACACAATATATTCCAAAAAATTGGTTTGGGGTTTTTTCCAGATACTTTTTGGAAAACCGTGTTTTCAGCCCGAGTTGAGAAAGACTTGGCGCATTTCACTGGTTTATTGGTTGATTGCCAAGTTTCGTTTTTTGACTGGTTGATTGCCAAGTTTCGTCGAAAACATCGGGTCTCAACCAAATTTTAGCGCTTTCTTACGGATCTAAAAAGAATGTAGTGAAAATGTTTGGTTTTGGCTTGCTGGCACATAGTTTTTGCTAACGTTTTCTTTCTGATTAACTCAATTGCTGACAAACTGGTGACTGAGTGGCTAATTGACTGGGACTTAATGGCTGACTAACTGGTTGACTGACCGGCTGACTAAAAGGCTGACTGACCCAGTGATACTTCACTATCTATCTGAGTAATTCTTTGACTTAGGACTTTGTGGCTAATTGGCTGACTGGCTGTGTGACTGAATGGCTGACTGGCTGACTGGCTGGTTGACCGACCCACTGACTGAAAGGTTCACTGACCCAGTGGTACTTGACTGGCTCTCTGACTGGTTAACTGACTGGGTGACCGGCTGGTGACTGAGTGGTCAACTGACTGGTGAGTCAGTGGCTGAGTACGTGGTTTACTGACTGGCTGAATGATAGGTTGACTAACTCAATGGTCCTCGATTGGCTATCTGACTGGTTAACTGACTTGCTGATCGCCTGGTGAATGAGTGACTAGTTAACGGATGACTGACTGGTTGATTAGCTGGTTGACTGACTGGTTGACTGACTGGTAGACTAGTAGGCAGTCGTTGGACCATGTCCAAGACTAGCGCAATTGCGACAAACAGTTTCGCTCGTGGCTGAAAAGCCCAATTCTAGAACGGCAGACACGGCCGCATCCACTGCACACGAAGACACTTGCCACTGGAACACACGTTGCTTTGTTCATTGCTGCTCTTCTCTTAGCTCTTCTATCATCGGCTTCAGCTTTCAGCCTTTCCTCTCCCGCCTGGAGTGCCAGACTGCACAGAGACCTCCAATCACTCCGATCGGCAGCAGGTAGCTCCCACTTATCTGTTGGCAGGCCAGTGGCGACCATATCTCTCTTGCATACGTCCTTGAAACGCAGCTTAGGTCTGCCAATACGCCTCGAGCCGGATTCCAACTCGCCATACAGGAGATTCTTAGGGATTCGCCCATCCTCCATCCCGAACACATGACCGAGCCACCTCAATCTGCGCTCTCTTACCAGGGTGAACATCAAGGGGATATTGCCTCTTGCAAGTACCTCATTGTTAGAGACCTTATCTGTCCATGAGGTAGAGAGGATGCGACGAAGACATCTTATATGGAAGATGTTCAAGCGCTTTTTCTTACTAGCGTAGGTAGTCCAAGACTCGCTACCAAGCAATAAAGTGCTCACGATGCAAGCACGATACACAGCAACTTTAGTTTGGGTAGTTAACTTCTTGTTCTCCCAGACACGGGAAGACAGCTTAGCCATGTTGGTTGCAGCCTTGCCAATTCTCTTTCTAATCTCCACTTGAAGGCAGTTGTTGTTTGAGGTGGTGGAGGTAACCTGTGTGACGGCTTCCAACATGTAATCTTTGATCGTTACGGCAGGTGTGGCTGCATTGTCCTGGGACATGAATTTCGTCTTCTTTAGGCTGCTTGTAAGTCTGGAAGCCTGCCATGCGTCAGAAAACTGATTAAGGAGGAGTTGGAGTTTTTCAGCGCTGTGAGCAACGAGGGCAACATCATCGGCAAAGAGAAGGTCACGGATGGCTACCTTTGTTCTTGGCTCTAAGGCGAGCAGGGTTGAACAATTTACCATCAGAACGAGATCGTATCAGTATGCCCTCTTCAGAGGACTTGAAAGCGTGATTCAGTAAAACTGAAAAGAAGATGTTGAAGAGAGTTTGGGCTAGCACACATCCTTTTTTTACGCCGCTGTTTATAT